ATGTGATTTATTTTTCATATCTGTTCGCATTATATTAAACCGATTTGGAGCTACTACAGGAATACTTAAGTCTACAGTCTAATCTCATTGCGCTTTTGCAGCAGCTCTATGATATTTGAGTAAATTATTTACGCTCTATTAACGGAAAAGTTACTCACCGTTTATTTTATGATGGTTTTCGTTGCTGTAAGCCTTTGCTACGCACAATAAACTCTCTGTTGTGCTTCACTACTAGAAGATTAATCATTTAAGTAATAGATATGGGTTACTTGTTAGAGAACTATAAGGTAATCAAAACCAAACCAAATACTGTGGGCTGCTGAGAACTGAATTTGCTAAAATATAGCAAAAATGCGATAACGAATATGATATCCATTTTTGATCAACATGGCGGTATACATCTTTGCAAAAAATGTTTTGTCTGAGCCAAAACTTGAGTTTTAGATGTTTTCAGGGTGGCTTATGAACAATTTGATATCAAAATCGAAATAGCGGTTCTAGTATGTTGGTTATGATTGAATAAAATATCTTGATGGCGCTCAAAATTAAGTTTCAAGAATATTTACGACCTCTAACAGGATTCTTAAAAAATCGAAATGGCGGATCCAGCACGAGGGCTATGTATGCAATAATACCGTTTTCAGAATATAATTTATGTATTATTCTACGTAGTCATGCCATAAGTTCTGTCCCTCGTTTTCAAACAAGTGTAGACCTGTTAATACTTGTCCGATTGTTTACATTGTGGTGTCAGTTGATTAAGCGCTTTTCGGGTAATTACATATACCTCAGTTTGTATTGATCTCTCGAAGCATAACGATGGAGTGGGGCAAGGCAGAGAACCGTATTGCAGTGATAGCTTTACATAAGTGTAATCACAGTGCTAGTCAGATTTTTGAACTCCTACGCGGCCTTCAAATATCGCGTAAATTTGTGTCTAGGACCATTCAGCGGTACAATGAGACGTCCTCTGTTGATGACAGGCCAAGAAGCGGAAGACCTCGTCAAGTAAGGACTCCAGCAGCCATCAAAGCCGTAAAAGCCAGGATTCAAAGGAATCCACTCCGGAAGCAGAAGATCCTATCCAGGGAAATGAAGATTCCTGTCCGGACGATGTCGCGCATCATTAAACAAGACCTAGGGCTAGGGGCTTACCGGAGACGTACGGGCCAGCGACTTACGGCCACCTTGCGACACATCAGGGCGACAAGATCCAAGAAGCTCTTGGAGAGGTACGCAGCTGGGGGATTCCGAAAGATTTTGTTCACGGATGAGAAAATCTTCACCATAGAAGAAAAATTCAACCGACAAAATGACAAAGTGTATGCAAGGAGTTCACAGGAAGCTTCGGAGATCATTCCGAGAGTTGAGAGAGGCCACCACCCTGCGTCAGTCATGGTTTGGTGGGGGGTGTCCTACGAAGGGGTCACTCAGCTCCATTTCTGTAAACAGGGCGTGAAAACAAAAGCGGCAAACTATCAGAGCGACATACTGGATCCTATCGTCAAGCCTTTAAGTGGTACATTGTTTGCCAACAAACACTGGGTCTACCAGCAGGATTCCGCCCCCGCTCACAAGGCTAAGAGTACGCAGCGCTGGCTGGAAAGCAATGTGCCAGAGTTCATTGCTGCGGAAGATTGGCCCTCAGGGAGTCCGGACCTCAATCCTTTAGACTACAAGTTGTGGGACCTGCTAGAGCAGTTGGCCTGCTCCAAAGCCCACCGTAATATCGAGTCCCTGAAAGCGGATTTGATCCGATCAGCGGCAGCTATTCCTTTGGAAGCTGTGCGTGCAGTGATAGATGAGTGGCCCGCGAGATTGAAGCAGTGTGTGAAGGCCAAGGGGGGACATTTTGAATAAAACTGTTTGATTATGAATTCTAAAAATGTTGTCGAATAAATAATATCTTTCATATAAATATATCTTATCTTGTTTCATTTTTATCATGAGATTATCATGGGACAGAACTTATGGCACGACTACGTATAATGTCGCATAATTGCCAAAATTGCAGTCAGCTGCAGCCATACTTTACAAACGTCTGATTAACATGCTACTTTCAGAAATATCAATTGCATTTTGTTGTATAGTGTTATGTCCTCGATTGGCGAGTAATGCTAGAATGCCATATCATAATAACTGTACATTACCTTCGACTCCGCACTCCATTTTGCTACATCTCAAAACCGCTGATTATTTTAAAACGTGACACTATTCGGTTATACACTTTTTTTGAACTTTTGGACAGGTTTCTTAGATCGTGAACCACGTCTATGCACGCGAGGTTCAAGGAGTATTCATCCTGTAGCCACAACATGGTCGCCATAACAATATTCACATTATGTCGAGATAAAATCAATAATCAGATTTATAACCATTCTCGATTACATCAATTTATCCATAATAGGTACATACACCAATACTTATTATGATCCTTTATAATACCATTATCAGCTAAATACCTACTTACATCAAAACGGTATTTAGAGTAGTACAATAATATTTTCGAAAGAGGTAATTTTATCATTCCTGTTGTTCATTACCCTGCACCACCTCCTTCTAATTCTTCTATGTCTTGGCACAGGTAAACATGTTAGCAGATATGCCTGTATTTATACACCTAGGTACAATACAGTATTTGTAAATCGACGCTCTGACCCATTTTTTACTGTAAATTGTAAATAAGGGGCAGAGCAACGTTTGTAAATGGCGCGTGGCGTACGAATCATTTTTTACCCATTTTTACCATCGTATTACAACAAGATAGTTCTCCAAATAAGAAATTTCTGGGTAGAGTAACTTTGTATGCAAAATGCAGCATGATGATTCTCAAAAAATGGCTCTGCTCTGCAGCCGCATGAGGCGTGTTTTGGGGCCCACGGAAGTCTCTGTCCTTGAATAACCCTGGCTTTGTATTTAGAGTATAAATATGGGGAAATTTCAATTACTACTTATTAGGTGTAGAAACTGAGCTAATATTTCAGTCAAAAAAATGTAGAATCGTTCCGGGTTGTCCCTGAAATTAACAAACCATAAAAATAGCTACGTTGTTTTGTTAATAATATTTGGCGTATGTAAACACATGTAGAACTAAATGATATAACAGTTTATTTTACGCTCTGACCTTCCAATAATAAATTGATCTATATTATGTACCGCGCTACGTTGAACTTGCTACTGGTTGTTGCACTACATAATGTACATGATATTGGGATTAAGTGATGAAAACAGCAACGAAAAACGAAATTTAATACTGTCAGGTGTAACAATTCATTATCTGCTGAGTGCAAAGTGAATCCACTGAGAAGAAAAAAAAACTCGTCATAGTCATATGTAAGGGATTCGGTTGGGAGGTTGACTTTTCGAAGTGAATTTGAATCGAATGGACACATCAAGAGTTATAGAGCCAAGGATATCTAGAATTTTAGAACTAGCTTGTATAGGTGCAACTTACAGAAATAGCTTCATGAGGGTAAATGAAAACGTTCTCCATCTAAAAATTTTGCTGGGTCACTCTTTCATTAACCGTCATAGTTGAAAAAATTACTTTTTCCCATATATAAAAATAACCTTGAAGTGTTGGTAAAACTGATTAAAAAGAAAATTCTAGAGCATGAAAATATCTCCAAAATGAGTTATGTAAATTTGCTGTAGCGGTTGATTTTGTTTAAAATAATTGCATCAAGTAGGTTGACTCTGCATTTTCCACGCAATGCAGTGGATAAAGGATTATGTTCAGCCCATCTTAGACCCCCTGAGGAAAAAGTTATGAACATATACAACAGAGGAATTGAACAGATCAAATCAGTCAGAGAGGCCCATTTAACAGTCCATAGCCATTCTTTCCAGCATCGAGCATGTATAATGTAGTCGGAGGTTATCTAAGCCTGGTACAGAGTGAAGCCGTTGTGTAGAGAAGAGTACCTAAACAAATAGCCTAGCTTTTCCCCAGCAGCTGCCGCTATTGATGAAATGTGTTCTTGCCAGATCAACTCCTCGGTATCCGGACTCCGACCAGCTGAAAGCAGTAAACTGTACCAAATTGTTGCGTTCCTAAGCAGTGATAACCTCCAGGTTTCTAGCCTAGTACCTTTTTCAGAAATATCGCACATTATACGAGTAGAACGTAGATATTTGTATGACAGTTATTCCCACAAGATACAGCAAAGTCTAAGCGCTTAAGCTGAGCTTTGGGGTTAAAGTGGAATTCCGATCTTATCTCTTAAACTCCTTCATCATAACCCTCAATACGACGAGTTCAAATGTTTCCTTAGGGTAGATATTGATCTGATAGTATGCTATACTTCATTTTATCATTTATGAACGGCGTTTCACGGAAATCCGATGGAAAAATTCCACAAGAAGTAGGCGAGCGGGAATAATTATCCAGCTTACTTCTAATGGATCCATTTTACACTATCAAGAGATTTGTAAATATTTCAAACATGCTATCTCAGGTAATCATAATTTGTTACGGCTAGGGATTTTTGAATACCTGAGTCATGCTTAAGTAGGTTTCCAGTACAGCAAAACCCGCAACATTCTGCGCAACAAGTGTTGGCACATGTTCTAGAAAGTGCCAGGGAATGGAAACGCCCACTACAAAATATTATCAGATATATCAGAGCAATTGCATCAAACTCATGATACTCAACATGCACCAGATATTTATAGCACTGGACACAGCCTGGAAAATGTGACAGCACAAGCACCGGGGATGGTAGGTGGCTGGGTAGCCAGATGGGTTACGGCACATCGGCTAGAAGGGTCGGGGGTCCGAATCCAGGCCTCCGAAGTTACATTTTGAGTTGTGGATGTTGTCTATATACGAGGGATGTCTTTTAAGTTTTGCATATAGAAACATAGTAGGCCGCGCGGATCGAACGTCAGTACCGAATCTTAACCTCACTCTTTAGGAAACTTAAATTCAAAGTTTCACAACAATACGTGCAGTGTTCTCACTACAGTGAATTTTTAAGTGTCACCAAGTCACTAGAAAAATGGAACTCAACCGAGAAAATTTTCGCGCCATAATTTATTACAACTTTCAGAGACAATTATCGCAACACGAATGCCTTGCTGAGTTACTGTCTGTTTTCGGCAACGAAGCGCCACATCAGTCGACAATTTTCCGTTGGTATGGAGAATTCAAACGTGGACGGGTGAGTCTTAGCGACGATCCCAGGGTGGGTGCACCTAAAACGGCAGACACCCAGGAAAACGTCGATGCTGTGCACAAACTCATCATTGAAGATAGACATGTGACATATCGCGAGATTTAGGCGTCCTTGAAGATCTCAAAGACCTCAATTCAAAAAAATTTACATGAAGAATTAGGAGTAAGGAAATTAGTTTCTCGTTGACTGAAGAGCAGAAAGGAGCCAGTGTTAATTGGTGTCAAAAAACGCTTGACCGTTTCAATTCCGGAAACTAAAAAAATGTGTACAGCATTGTTAGTGGTGATGAATTGTGGATTTACTGTTATGAACCAGAAAATAAACGACAGTCGGCTGTTTGGGTGTTCCAAGGTGAATAAAAGCCATCAAAAGTCATCCGTTCTCGAAGTGTTTCGAAAACGATGGTCGCGACATTTGCGTCAAAAGCGGGTCATACTGCAACAATTCCTCTTAATGAGCAAAGAACTGTTACTGCGGATTGGTATACCACCATTTGTTTGCCAAAAGTCATCACCGAGCTTCGAAAAATCAACCCCGAGAGAAGATTCATCCTTCACCAAGACAATGCAAGCTCGCACACAGCCCAAAAAACAAGGCAGTATTTAACGGAAGAAAACGTGGAATTATTATATAGTCCCGATCTAAGTCCTAACGATTCCTTTACTTTCCCGAAAATTAAAAACAGGCTGCGTGGTCAAAGGTTACAGTCACCAGAAGAAGCAGTTGATGCATTCAAAAATGCCGTTTTGGATCTGCCAGCAAACGAGTGGAATAAGTGCTTCGAAAATTGGTTCGAGCGCATGCAGATGTGTATTAATCTTCCTGGAGAATACTTCGAAAAACAATAAAGTCATTTAAAACTACCTGCCGTGTTGTTTTATTTCCATATACAAAACTTAAATGACATCCCTCGTAACGCTCCACATCGGTGCAATATTCAGTAAGTACGGGGTGAGGTGTTCGGATATAAATTGACCCCCTCTAACTTCTTTACATGACTTCCTAGAGAAAAAGTTGTATATACAAGTTATAGGGTCTAATACGAGGTTTTTCATTTAATATTTTTTTATACCAGGTATCTCAGAAAGGTGCTATCGAAACAAGTTTTATTTCTTTCTACTTTCCCTGTATATTTTTAGTGAAAATGATGTTCCTTTTTTTCTGATTCTAAATATATAAGGTTTGAACTTACTCCTATTACCTTAGTCAAAACCTTTAAGTTTCTGTGTCATTTAATCATATGTATTCCTTGCCCATACAAGATTGCATAGGCGGCTATATGCAAACGGTTCCAACTCGGATACACATGAGTAAAACTGACACAGAGACATTAAGTTTCTGACCATACTAATGAAAATGAGTATGATAAACCATATATATTTTGAATCAGAAGAAAAGGGACTATAATTTTTTTTCTAGGTCATATAAGAAAGTTAGAGGGGGTCAATTTATAGCCGGATACATTGCATCGCTGAAACTGGTTTATTCAATAATCTGTCACCTATAGTCGAGCATGAGGAGTGGCACAGTGTTGATACAACTAGGTCGGCAAAAAGAGTCAAAACTGACAACGAGGCTTCGCCTCCGCACCACTACTACCACAGGGGTTGGTATGTTTACATTTTAAAAGCAAGTTTCCATTACAACAAATTTGCTCCACAACATGCGCCAGGCTACTGTATGCTAATAGATTCATTTTGAGTTTGAACCCGTAAAAAGCTATTTGCAATTTTGATAATGTCCTACCTTAACTATGCTTCAATTTCATATTATCCTTGTCTTGTCGATGGATCGGTGTAAAATCCAAAGAATGCAAATGGTCTATTTATCTCCATAGTAAATTGATAACTAGAGAAATAATTAAACTCAGAGATCTGAGGCATAATAATAACCTTACAATGGTTTTGCACTACAGCGCAATGTTTTACTTTCAATCTAGTGAGGTACAAATCAACCGACCCTGCCTGGAGAAACAAAAGTGTTGTAATATTCTGGAAGCTGGTTCAAAGTATGCTATTAGATCTGTTGTGCTTAAAGGTTATGACCTATTCTTTTTTTTGTATTTTCATCCAATAATTACTAGTTCTCATCTAGTTCCTTTCGGTAAACATAGGGTGGATTTGCCACACTATGTTTTTTTCACTTTCTTATTAGTTTACTCAGTTGAACATTAACCCGATTTATTTATTTTTAGGTTGGAATGTGTATTATTTTGTCTTGTGTGTACATATTTCTTCACACAATAGGGTTGGGTGTAAGAGTAGCCAACTGGCTTAACTGCGCCTTATTTTTTGTGATTCTAATAAATATATTTTATTATTATAAAAACATTTTTTTATCATTATTATATACACTAGATCTGTGTACAACTTGCAAACAGAAAGCGCGCCAAGTGACTATGGCTCGCAACATGTGTCGGGGCATGTCCTGCAACATGTACCTCAACTTGTAAGAACAAAATTTTGCAGATATTGACGTGCTAAATGGCCCAAACGTTCTGACAGCTTGCAACATGTTGCTACACATATGGCCGACCAGGTGCGTTCAAGGCCGGACTTAATATGCACGTAGCAGTATCAAATAGTAATTATCAAAAGTAACGTAAGTTTAAACTTTGTTCACCATTATTTTATAGTTATCATTACTCCAGCCATGAGCCAACAATATTTTGAGAATGTAATTCCTTTCGTGCTATAAATAAACTCATTAGTGACATGAGTAGTTGCTGGCTATGATAACAATAATTAGCTTTTTATTTTTACCGTTAAGGCACCAACTATATTTATATACTTTCTCACTTCGTGAAGGAGATATGAAACCTTTCTTATTCTATTATTAACATTCAGGGTCTGACAAGGCTAGCATCGACTACAGGAATAAATTGTTTTTTAAAACTATTTTTTTTGAATGTAATAAATTCAGATGACAATGAAGTACTAATAATTTAATGGATAACGTGTTTGTACAGCATTTTATAGAATTAAGTGTATAGGCAAGGTCTAGAGTGCGGATTGATATTGTAGAGGATTTACGATGAACTGGAGAGCCGCAACTTGACATCAAAAGAGCCGCAGGTTGCCGACCCCTGAACTATACTCATGAAGATTACTTTTTTAGAAGTTTGTGGTTTATATAATATTTTATAATAATAAACGGGAAATTCTATAAAAAAGAAGAGCTCGACGATGCAAAAATCTGTCGGAACGCCTCAGCAAAATAAAAGATGGACAAGAACGTTCAGTCAAGTAAGACCAGAGGAAGATGGAGGGCAAGGCAGAATAGCAAAAAATATTAATAAATAAAAAAACTAGGCAATAGAATAGGTAACTATGATGAGATGATGACCAAGGCGCGACAAGGAGCAAGGCTACGGATACAGAACGGAAACTAGATATGAGTATAGGAAACATCAAGAAAAATATATCTCAAGGCAATAAGAAAATGATTTGCGTAGGAACATGGAATGCAAGAAGTCTCACGGGAAAGAAGGATAATTAATAATGGAATTCGAAACAACAAAGCTTAAATTATTATCAATAACCGAAACAAAAATGAAAGGACAAGTTAGGTAATAAATGATCACTTGCTGATATTCAGTGGAGTAACAGACGCAAAAAGGGCTACGGAAGGACTAGCTTGACTGATTCACAAAGATTGGAAGGGAAAGAGAAACAGCTAGCAATAAGCTCAAGAATACTAAAAATGTGGCCCCAACGAGGAAAGAAAATGATGAAACATTTTACACCATGTTACAGGAAACAGTGGACAGACCAACAAACGAAATAATAATCGTAGGGGACATGAATGCAAGGGTTGGGAAAGATAATAATAATAACAATAATAATAAATCGTCTTTATTTATAAATTAACATAGTATCGGGCGAAGTTTAGCTAAATAGCTACTCTTCCACTTAACCTTATTATTTTCATGGTTGTGAACCAATGTAAATACATGTAATTAACATGTATATATATACAGTGGCTAACCAAAGGAAAACAAAAATATTGTAAGACATAATCTAAAAATATAAACAGATTCAGCAACACGTCAAATAAAATTTTTCTGGCGGTTACTAATCTAAACTACAAACTACTACTTAATTACTACTACGAGTCATTTTTGATAGCAAATGCTGCTTGACACAAACTTTAAATTTAGTTTGAGATAAATTTTTGAATGCATCAGGTAGCACGTTATACAGTTTGACACAATTATACCTAAAAGAGCGAGTAAATAAAGCCGTACGGTGCCGTGGAATATCTAATAATTTGCCATACCTGAGCATGCGATCTCTAACAGATTGCCTGAAAACAATTTTTTTGAAGAGGTATTCGGGAGTTCCCGTGGTAATCAAATTATGAATGAACTTCAAGATAAGATACTTGTAAGAACTATTAATATCTAACCATTTTAAACTACGAATACAGTGTGAAACATGGTCATATTTTCTTAAACCGTAGATGAGGCGACAGCACGAATTTTGAATCAGTTGAAGTCTGCGAATTGAGACTTGATCTAAGTAAGGATAGAAAACTATAAGGCAGTAGTTGATTTTTGAGAGAACTAGGCTTTCACAAAGATGTTTTTTCAATTTGAAATTGATGAAATGCCTATTAACAAACAATGTTTTTAGTACAACAAAGCAGTTTCTTACTAATTTAGATATATGCTCACGAAAACGTAAATCCTTGTCAAGTAAGACACCCAAATTTTTTGCAAGATCCTCATAAACTAAAGAAGTGTCATTAATGCGTACTGTCGTGTTATTTCTGATATTAATGATTTTGTTTTTTGGTGCAAAGAGAACAGCTTTAGATTTAGAGGCATTTAGCGTTAAGGACCTATGCTTGGAAAAACTTACAATAGTGGCTAAGTCACAATTCAACTCGTCCACATCTGCTACACAGTCATCTGGATCAAAAGTTTTACATATTTATGTATCATCCACAAAAATCATTACTTCAGAGGAGCGTATTAGTTTACACATGTCTGATATGTAAATGGAGAACAATAGCGGTCCTAAAACAGAGCTTTGAGGGACCCCTGATATCACATTCTTATATGTCGAATATGAGTTGTCCAAATGTACCCTTTGCATACGATTCATGAGATAACTAGTAATGAACTTGATAGATGCTTGAGAAAATCCAATATATTTGCATTTTGAGATCAAAAGTGAATGATTGATAGTGTCAAAAGCCTTGGAGAAGTCAAGCAGTACAAGAGCCGCTGCTTGACCCCGATCCAAAGCCTCAACAATATCATCAGTCACCTTAAGCAGGGCAGTGGTGGTGCTATTCCCTACTTTGAAGCCAGACTGGTTTTTTGGAATTATATTATTCTCAGAGCAGTACTCTTTCAATTGATCATGTACTATCCTTTCCAATATTTTTGATAGAATCGGAAGTAAACTTATTGGGCGCAAGTCGGAATAAGCTGAAGGGTTATTAGTTTTGCCAAGGGAACAATTACTGCTTGCTTCCATGCAGAGGGAAAATAGTGAAGTTCCAAACAAGAATTAATCAAATGCGTTAAATATTTGCCAATCACAGGAAGACATAGTTTTATCATATTAGGCGTAATACCATCATGCCCACAGGCATTAGATTTTATTTTAAATAAATGCGAACGTATATCTTCCTTAGTGGTCATGACCAGATCAAATTTCAGCGATTCATCAAGTATGTTATTATCATAAAATTCTATTTTACTAGCACAGTGCTGTGCATGTAAGTGATATGCTCCAACAATACAAAAACATGGAGAAACAACATCAAACGACAATGGAAGAAGACTACCAGAATTTT